TTTTTTCCTAATAAAGGAATAATATTGAGATAAAATCAAATATTAGTTTCCTATATACTATGTAAATTCAGTTGACAAAATACCATCATGTATAACTTGGTTTTTAATACAATATCCAAAATTATTTTCCCTAAAATAAAGATGGTATGAGCATACAGTATGTGAAAATTTTAAATTATAAATATTGTATGAGGAGAAAGACAAAAATAAGTAAAAATTTTTGCCTCTATGCATTTTTAAGCTCAAATATTCATGGAATATATAATATTAGAATATTATATATATATGGAATAAATAATTAGAATTGAATTTCATAATGCCAGTTTCTTCTTTTCGTAAATGTAAATAATAAATGATAAAATTAATAACCTCTAGGGGTTATAAGACTTAAATGGATAACAAATACAAAAGTCTTGCTTTTTTTTGCTGAATGCTTAACAAATATTAGCTGCTTCTATTTTTGTTTTGTTATTATTCCTATGTTTTGTGAATCTGTTTCATGGAGAAAGCTCTGAAATGTTACTGCATTGTTATAGACAAGGAAGCTGTGCCTTAAGTTAATTTTAGTCTATGTTTTATGTTTGTATGAGATTGGGCATGGGGGAGTATCATAGAAGTTCTTAATCCAAATAAAATTTAAATCTGATTGATTTTGGCAGTACTAGGGCCTCGGGTATGCCCTATACCAAACACTGACTTTTTGTCTTTGTACAAGTTAGTCCCTTACACTGTGTTTTGGAATCTGTGTTCATAAAATAATAAAATTTCTTTCAAATACAATATAAACAAAGTGTAAATTCCATTGTTCTTAAATTATAAAATGGGAAGTCTTACCTTTTTTAACATTGGAGCCAACATTAGCAACTCTGTCTAGCATGAATATATTTTAGATAATCATACATAGAAGAAACCATATAATATAGTAACTCTTAAAATCATAAAGACTTAAAAAGAGATAATTTAGCACAATAGTTCATTCTAAAACATGATCTTGATTACTACATACAATTCTACTCAAATATAATGAATTTTAAATTACATGAAGATTTTTGATATTCATTACTTACCCTTTTTCATATGTGAATTCATCTTTCAGGGAATTAGCTGATGATTCACCAATGAAGACAGATGGAATGTCAATTTTCTTTAACACATCAACTATATAAAAGAATAATAAAATTATTTGTAAAAGCCACTTCTTTGTGCTCACTTTGGCAGCACATATACTAAAAAGCCATTTTTTTTCTTTTTCTTTTTTTTTGGTACCAGGGATAGAACTCAGGACCTTGTACTTGCGAGGCAGGCAGCGGAACCACTGAGCCAAATTCCCAGCCCTGAAAAGCCATTTCTTAACGTACAATCAACTTAACTTTCTTCAGAATAGCAGCAAATGCAACTGGAAACAATTATAATTGGCATTCATTTTCTACTAATTTATTTTTTTAGATTACAGAGTTCATATTAATCAAAATAGTTTAGAAATATAACATGATTTCTCTTTAACATGTATGATTTTAAAAGCAATGTTTCCATTTGATTTATTCCTCTATAGATATAACTGTTAGAAAAGGAAGATAAGGAAGAAATTTTAGGTTTTCTTCCCACACATAATTCCTAAATAAAAAAACAGGAAAATGCTTCTTTTACATACCCATTTCCACGAGAAATACAAGCCAAGAATGTAAGACCAGTTTATATCAGTCTAAAAAACAACACCACGCGTCTCCGGCTTCCCAAAGAGAAAGGCTGACAGGAGTTGTTCAAAGGTAAAGGGAGAGCAAAGCTGTGGAAACTTCTCCTCCCCCAGGATGGGAGTTCATGGTAAAGCTTTCCGCTTTGACAGGAATCTCAAGAAACTCAACTCTTATACCCATATTTAAAACCCAAACAAAGGCCACCGAAAAAGAATTTTGTAAAAAGTACCCATTACTCAGTATTATTCAGAAACAGAAATAAAAACAATTTTCTTTTTTTTTCTTTCAAATGTATGACTTCATAGTTCATTACCTAACCAACTGCTAGTGCACAACTATCTAATTTATTCTACAGTTTTCCTCCAATATAAATTTTAAAAAAAATTTATTAATGCATATTACCTTTACAAATTAACAGGTTTCACTTTGGCAGATTTGTACATGCATGTAGCGTATGTTAATCATTTCCAACACTCCACCTCCCCTTGACCTTCCCTTGTCTCTCTTCCTTATTCTTTCTCTTCTCTAACAGTCTCCCTTCTACTTTCATTTCTGTTTTTTTTTAAATTCTGCATAAGAGAATACATTAAAAAACTTCTGCTTTTTATGAGACAGGCTACAAAACAAGAGAGAATCTTTGCCAGATACTCTTCTGAAAGAGGGTTAAAATCCAGAATGCTGTATATAAGGAACTCAAACCAAAATCATATAACCCATAATCCAATTAATACATGAACACAACATATTTCTCAAGAGAATAAATATAAATAACTATAAGTTTATGAAAAATTTTCAACTTCTTTAGCCATCAGAGAATGGAAATCAAGATTCCATCTCACCCAGTAAAAATGGCTATTGCCAAGAATATAAAATCAATAACTGCTGGCATGGATTTGGGGAAAAAGGAACACTTAACACACTCTTGGTGGGAATGCAGGTTAGTACATCATCCCCCAAACGTCATTTCTTTTCAGTGAACGCCTCCTCCTAACCTCATTAACCACTGACTTAAACCATTGATCTGTTTTGTTTTGTTATTCCTTACAAAGACAAGCTTTAAATCCTGATATCCTTGGTACAGTACAGTAGGGTTTTTTTTACACAAATCTAAACATTCATTCTCACAAAAATAAGCCCCTCTCCCATAGACAGACAGACATACACACACACACACACATACCAGAAAGGCAGGAACAAAAATGTCTAGTCAAGGAATACTTACTCACTTTTGATATCAATGAGAATCAATAAACATTTTATTTTTGGATCACTGGTATAATACTAGAAAAACCAAAAAGTTTTCCCCACTCAGGATACACCTCAGGTATTCTGCCATGTCAATAAAGACCATCAACTGTAGCAGCAACAGAGGTAGTGTTATATGACCATTTATATTTTAGGGAGATATTTTCTATCTTGTTGAAAGATTTTTCTTTATATCAGTTTGACAATTAAAAACTTGAAATTACACACTCTTTGTAAAATGCTTTCTTCTTTCATGAAGATACTCTGATAAACCCAAGAAAAAACTTGTGGCTTTTTACTATTGGCTTGTAATTTTTGGAAATAACATAACCTCTTTCAAATTATGCTATCTAAAGATATAGAAAACTCCTTACGCTAGTAAAAAGATCAAAATGGACATGGGGAAACACTACATGCAAATATGAACAGCCACCTTGGAAACTGCAGCATGATTTATCTACTAAAAACAAAAAATGTTGAAGGCTGGGGATTTAGCTCAGTGGCACCATGCCTGCCTCTTCACAAATACAAGGTGCTGAGTTCGATCCCTGGTACAAAAAAATAGAAAAGAAAAATTTAAAAAGATGTTCTTTATCCATGAATCTATTGATGGACATATAGGCCACCTCCAAGCTTTAGCTATTAAGAATTGTGCTGCTACAGACATAGGTATGCATGTATTCCTATAGTATGATGTCTTTAACAATACACCATGGATTACTACTTTGTCATAAAGAAAGATAAACTTCAGTCACTTGTAAAAACACAGATGCACCTTGAGAACATAATGTTAAGTGAAATAAATCAGATACACAACATAAATATTACATGATTTCTCTCATATGAGAAGCCCAAAGCATAAAGAGCAAAATAAAAGACAGATAATAGGAAGTATGGAAGTAGATTTTTATCAAAGGGGAAGGGATAGAGGGAGACATCAAGAAATAGAGAGAGGAAAAGGAGGGAAAAGAGCTGAAAAAAGGAGTTGTGTCATATATATATACATACAAACACCGACTCCACACAAGGAATGCAAATAGCATGTACTGCAAACAAGTAGGAAATAAAGGAAGGGAACCAACAGGAATGAAGGAGGTAAGAAGGGGAAAGAAAAGGCTGAAGAAGGAACTAAGATGTACACGTACCAATTCTCCACAAGGATTGCAAATATTATACATTATAAACATATACTAGGGCCGGGGATTTAGCTCAGCGGTTCCGCCACCGGCCTCACAAGTGCAAGGTCCTAAGTCTGAGCCCTGGTACCATTA